AAGATTTTATTTATTTGACAGAGAGAGACACAGCGAGAGAGGGAACACAGCAGGAGGAGTGGGAGAGGGAGAAGCAGGCTTCCTGCGGAGCAGGGAGCCTGATGTGGGGCTCGATCGCAGGACCCTGGGATCATGACCTGAGCTGAAGGCAGGCGCTTAACAACTGAGCCACCCAGGCAGCCCTGGATTACAAAATTTTAAAATTCAAAACTTCTCTACAGCTCTGCTTTCCTCTGCTCTGTAAAAAGCATTCTTTCTCATATAGAGCAGGTTCTACTGAACCTAACCCCTCAAACTTTGTTCAGAAGAAGTCATGACCAAATCATCAAGCTGGAACATGAATTTGGCTTTATTTCCCACAACTTGTCTTTGTTATGGTTGATATTAAGTGAAACTACATTCCAATATTGATACCTCCTTTCCTTCCTCCCCTAGAAAACTAACACACAATTAGTTCAGTTAACGTTACCTCAACCAATTCTTTTGGTGAAGACAAATTCACATAGCATTATGTAAGCTAATTCATTTAACATCACCTATAAAATACAGAGCTTCACTATGTGATTCTACTAACAAGTGTGCACGATGCACAATAATACCATGGATAAGGGGGGAAAGGATGCTGGAAGAGAAATAAGGTACAAGATACACTTTCAATTTCTCAAGATGAGTGTCAATGTCATATTCTAAAAGTACTCAGGGGGCACCTGGGTGGCTCAGTCGGTTAAGCATCTACCTTCGGCTCAGGTCATGGTCCCGGGGTCCTGGGATCGAGCCCCACATCGGGCTCCCTGCTCTGTGGGAAGCCTGCTTCTCCCTCCCCCACTCCCCCTGCTTGTGTTCCCTCTCTCGCTGTCTCTGTCAAAAAAAAAAAAAAAAAATTAAAAGTACTCAGAGCTTCCAAGTTCTCAAAAAGAGTGATCAATAAAATGAAGTCCTCAAATACCTAGGAATAAATCTCAAAGGATGTGTAAGATCTATAGGATGAAAAAATTATATTATTGAGAGAAAATAAAAGACAAATGAAGGGAAATACCATGATCACAGACTGGAAGATTCAATATTGTAAAGACATCAATCCTACCCAAACTTGAACTTCAACTTCCATGTAATCCCAATCAATATCCTAAGCAGATTTTTCTGTGGAACCAGACAAACTAACTGTGAAGTTTATATGGAAATACAGAGAGCCAAGAAAATCTTAAAGAATAGCAAAACTGATACTTACTCTACTAGAGACCAAGTTTTATTATAAAGTTAAGACAATTAAGACAAATAATGAAATTAGAGGGAGTCCAGAAACACCATATATATGATTCAGATGATTCATGGCTAAGATGATATGACACTGTAATGTGGAATGGGTGTTTTCAATAAATGATCATGTCCACTGAGTACCTATATGGAAAAATATGAACCTTGAAGTTTGCCTCATACCATACACAAAAATCAACTCCAAAAGTACTGTAGATTTAAATGCGAAAGGTAAAACAATAAATAAAAGTTTCAAGAAGAAAACTTTAGAGAATACATTAATGACCTGGGGTAGGCAAAGATTTCTTCAACAGGACACAAAAAGCACTAATGGTAAATGGGAAAAAAACTTACACGAGATCACATTAAACTTGAGACCTTCTAGTCATCAAAAGACACTCTTAAGAGTAAAAAGGCAAGCCACTCAATGAGAGGGCGTATTTGCAATACATATATCTGACAAGATTCTTATCCACAACATATTAAGAAGCCCAACAAACCAATTAAAAAGAAAAGCCAATAGGAAAATGTACAAAAGAGTACACTAGCTAGTTTTAGAAAGAGGATATCCAATTGGACAATAATTACATAAAAAGGAGCTTGACTTCTTTAGTCATCAGGGACGTGCAAATTAAAACCACAATGAGATACTACTACACAGCCACCAGAATGGCTAAAATGAAAAAGACAGACACTACTAAGTGTAGCCAAAGATGTGTACCACTGCTGGTGGGAATGTAAATTGGTACAATAACTTCTGGAAAACCTGTAGTAGCTAGTAAAGCTGAACATTTGTGTACTTTTTGATCCTGAAATTCCAATCTTATATACATACCCAATAGAAACACGTATGTCCAATAAAACACATGTACAAAAATATTCACAGCACCCCTGTTGTAACCGCCACAAACTAGAAACAAATATCCATCCACAGTAAACAAAACAAATAAACTGTCGTTTATTCATACAACAGAATGCCATACAGCAACGAGAAAATAAACTTATTACATACAAGATGGATGAATCTCACAAACATAATGCTAAAGGAAGGAAGCCACATACAACAATTCACATACTATTTGATTCTATTATAAAAGTCCAAAAACAGGCAAAATTTATCTGTGGTATTTGAAGTCAGAAAGTGGTTACCTGGGTGTTTGTGTATGTACGGGTGGGGGGCACAAAGTTAGCGACAAAGAAGAGTTTGGAGGAAGCTCTACTAGTAATATTCTACTTCTTAAAATTATAATGTGTTCATTTAGTAAAGCTTCATTAAGCTATACATTTATAATGTGTGCATTCTGTCTATGTATACTTCAATAAAAAGTTTATTTAAAAAATCAGTTTAACTGGGGGCGCCTGGGTGGCTCAGTCAGTTAAGCATCTCCTTTCGGCTCAGATCATGATCCCAGGGTGCTGGGATCGAGCCCCACCATTGGGCTCCCTGCTCAGCGGGAAGCCTGCTTCTCCCTAGCCCTGTGCCCCTCCTCCCTGTGTTCTCTCTCTTTCTCTCTCTGTCAATAAATAAAATCTTTAAAAAAAAAATCAGTTTAACAAAAGCTTCAAAAAGTTTATCTTTAAAGAAATTTTTAATTAAAAATGAAAAACAAAACTATCATATGATCCAGGAATTTCACTTCTGGGTATTTAACCAAACGAAATGAAGTCCTATCTTGAATAGATAGATGCACCCCCTATGTTTACTGCAGATCCCTTTCCCCCAGGTCCTGGCAGCCACCAATCTGCTGTCTGTTTCTATAGATTTACCTATTCTTGTTATTTCATATAAATGAAATCATACAATATGTGACCTTTTGCGACTAGCTTCTTTCACTCAACATGTTTTGAAGATTCATCCACACTATGTATCAGCATGTATCAGTATTTCATTCCTTTTTATGGCTCAATAATATCTCACTGTGTGCATATATCATAATTTAGTCAATTCCTTATCAGTATATAAAGTATTTGTGGTAATTTTTGATCTTCAGTACTTGCTGAACTCCCTACCCTAAACTAACACACTCAAAAATCCTCATTCAGGGGCACCTGGGTGGCTCAGTCGTTAAGCGTCTGCCTTCAGCTCAGGTCATGGTCCCAGGGTCCTGGGATCAAGCCCGGCATCGGGCTCCCTGCTCCGCAGGAAGCCTGCTTCTCCCTCTCCCACTCCCCCTGCTTGTGTTTTCTCTCTCGCTGTGTCTCTCTCTGTCAAATAAATAAATAAAATCTTAAAAAAAAAAAATCCTCATTCAGAAGCTAGCCTTCACCTATTCAACAAAATGGAAAGTTGTAATATTATATATCAAGTCAGTGTAACAACTCTTTGTATAACCTGTTAATATTCTATGAAATATTTCTAACCAACAGCCCTGTGAATTGAGTAATATTATCTTTATTTTGTATGTGAGGGAAGTCAGACACAGAGCTTAAGTAGCTGTCTAGTGTCACAGCTGGTAAACAACTAGACCAGGACTAGCTCCCTTCTCTTTCCATCCACCGCGTATCAGAGCTCATCCAGCTACCCACACTAACCCAGTCACACTACAATGACTACACAAAAATTTGGAAGAGAGGTTCTCATGTTCAGGACAAGAAAAGCCTCAAGTTATAAACTGGTTTAGCATGTAAGTTAGTCCCTGTAATTCAGAAAGCATTTTCCCAAATTAAAAAGCTCTATAAATGGTTTAAAAAAATCATTCTCTGGAAGGATACCACAAATTAGATTAAGAGACAGCTTTTCCTGGGAAGAATGAAGAAATCAGAAATCAAAGTAAGTATGTGTGAATGTGACTGGACGTCCAGACTATCATTTAAGGTGGAGACTATAACTTAAACACATATCAAAAAAAGAAATATACTCAGAGTAAGTAAAACAGTTCTGGATGAAGACTAAGGAGATTGTGTTCTACTCCTGGTACTGCTGCCAACCTTAAAATAGAAGTTACTCCTATCTATGTTTGTTTGCATATCTGTAAAGTGAGAAAGGTTGGGATAGATGATCACTAAGATCCCTTTGAGACTACTTTTTTCCCTCCTTCCAAACTAGAATGATGTCAATTATTCCTTAGAAACTGGGAACTTTAGCACCCATAAATATGAAAATTGGCTGATCTCCTGGCCTAAGCAGTCCCTGATCTGAGAGTGGCAGCGGCCTTTTAGATGAGCCCACATTGACTTTCAAGAGCAAATGGACTTGATTCTGCCTCTGCTTTCTAAAATAATGTATATTCTACACCATAGAGAAGGGTAGGAAAATGAAGTTAGCTCAATAAATGCACTGCTACACTAATTTCACATAAATGCAGAATTAACTGACTCCTTTGTACCACAATATATTTAACAGCTAACATTTACTCAGCACCCACTATCTGATGCATCCAGTGTTAAGCAATTTTAAGGCATAAAGCAAGAAGACTTTAGGTGATTTTTAGGTAAGAGAACTGCTTACGTGGGAAATACATGGCTAAATTCATCTCAGTTCTTTCATTTCCAAAATAAATACTTGCAAAAAAGGACAACAAAATCTTATTTCATTAATTATCTTTAAGAAAAAAGAGATTAAGTAGACTCTGAAATTCAAAATCTTACGTTCACATCAAGAAGGTAATTTATTCTTAATATTCCCAAGAGGTGTCATTATAGTCTTACCTTTTTATTTCAAACCTATAACAAAATGAAAAACTGAAACTTATCTAAAACACATAACTAAAAGTTAAAAAAAAAAAAACTAACTAAAAACCTCTTACCTGAGCATGAAAATTGGACATAGTTGTCGTTTCTATATCCTTCTTTCCTAATATCTCCATTTTCACTGGCGAATTGGGAAAATTAAATGAAAAGTAGTCTAAAAAGTCAGGTAAATAAGTAGCTGCCCCATGAACAATACCCATTACATAGAAAGCTGCAGAGTTTTCATTTTCACTGAACACCAGATCCACAAACTCTTCGGCAAACCTCTCCATCTCCATAGGAGAAAGGTGGGAGAGTTCATTACTGTAGGCATGGATAACGGATGCACCTCCATTAGGCTGGTGCTCAATATGAATGAGCTGTCTGAACTCCAAAGTGTCCAACCTTTTGAGGTTATTCTGAACCCGTGGCTCCTTTAATGAGACAAATGGAAACTCACTATTCTCAGGAATTTTGGAATCATAGTTCTTGTTATCCAAACTCTTTCCACTGTAATCCTTTACGTTATCATTTAGGATGCCTTTGGCTTCTTGATCTTCAACATCAGATAGCAATCCTGAGCAGATGGTTTGAATAGATTTGCTATACATTTTTGGACGCTTCCGTTTTTCATTCTCTTTGTGTTTCTTCTTCTTTTTCTTCTTTACTTTTTTAATTTGTAAGTCTTCAGCATTTGTTTTTGGTTTCTCCTTCCCACCTGTTGGAAAAAAATTTCTTTAAAAACTCCGTACTTTAGTTACTTAAAAAAATCACACTTAAGGACCTGTCTTACAATAAATAAGCAAAGTTTACTCAGATTCAGACTTATATTTGGGACTTGTTTCACACAGTATTGATAATCATAATTTAGTCTCTTTCCCTCTCCCTACACACACACACACACGAAGGTCTAGGACAAACTTACACCTATAGTGTGCAAGTACCATTCTGACATGTAACAGATTCTCAGTCAGTGTTTACTGAAGTAATGAATGGAAGTTTTAGAAAGCATAATCTTCAAATTTAAATGCAGAAAATCAGAAATGGGAAGGTGAACAGAGGTCAATATGAATAATGCCTTCCAGATGTTTTCCACTGATACACGTCATTTTTATGCATCTGAGTTCTTCAAAATTGCATTATGCGTCAAGACTTGTAAATCACAAAGGGAGAAAATGACTTGTATAATATAACAGCAACAAAACACACCAATTCCTTAGCTTTTTACCATATTTCCTCCTTAGTAAACTACTCTTGCATCTAAAATGGCTATTTTAGAGGTCCACTGGAGTTTGCAAAGTTCCTGATGAAAACCCAATAAGGCACCATAAAGATGACAGAATTAGAATAATTTCTCATGTCCTAAGCATAAATGATACCATGTACTAGTAAAGAGATGAATATAAAAGTAAAAGATTTGGGGCAATGTAAGCTTATATATTAATGAGCTTCTGTAACTGAAGTCAGGTAGACTCTGCACCCAGAAATTTGGAACTCCAAAAAATAAGAGTAATCCACGGAGTCTATACAGCTATAGACTAAGTGTACATATAAACACGTAACATTATCACAATATATTTCTGTACAAGAAAAAAGGAGAAAGTAAACATCTTCACAAGAAAATATTATGCTTCCTAAGATAACATGAGAAAGCCATTAGGATAAGAGTTAAGGCATTCACTGTTTCCACCTGTTATTTCACTTTTATAGACAACCTGTTATGAATTAAATCTTCCCAATCGGCTTCCTTACCTCAATTTTTCCATATTCACGTGTCTTTTATTTCTATCTCCAGTGGGTGAGATGTCCTGCCTACTTTTCAAAAATAAGTCCTTCCCACCAATTCCAAAAACCCTTACAAAAATAGTTCCCTCTCCTCTTCTTTTGACCACACTTCTCATAAAGAACCCTCTATGCCAAGTGTCTTCCGTTTATCTTATCATTCTTGTCCCTTAAATTCTAGGTCTGCTTCCAGTCTACTCAAATTTACTTTCCCAGAATGTTCAAATATCAAATCCAGTGATATTATTTCAAATCATTCTTTCTGATCTCTCCAAGGTTTAACAATCATCCAGTTCATCCTTGATTTTTTAATTCTTTATTAATTTTTGGTCTAACAGCTTCATGACCAGCATCCTGAATTCTGGAGCCAAATTAATCTTTCTATAAGTTTTATATATTGTTTGATCATATTCATCCCTTGAGTAAACCTCCTTCAAGGGTTCTCAATACCTACCAAATAAAATATAACCATTCCAGTATGGAATCCCAAGACAATGCTCTCAAGTACTTTATTCTCTGGTCAATCTGCATTACTTAAAATTTCTTATAAAACACTCAGTCCTGCCTTATCTTTCTACTACTTGCAAAGGCATTTCCTGTCCCTAAAATACTCCTGTCCTGACCTCTTTCTTACCTATTCTTTAAAAACAACTCATATCATTTCCTTCATTTTGCTTTCCCTCATTTCTCTAGTTGGAACTGGAATCACTTCATTCTAAATTCACAGTGATTTTTTTCACTCATAGGATACCTGTGTATCAGACGTCCTTCCACATATTGTATGAGTGAAACAAGTAATTTTTATATGATTTCAGAATGAAGTGATACTTTTCCCCTGTCATTGTAACCTTTGTGGCATTTAATATATCATTATAGATGAATATTTAATGAATCCATGAATGAAAAGATTTCACTCACCAAGAAACTAATTGAGGTTTGTGTAATTTTTCCTTGTCCCCCTTTCAGCCGAAGTTTTCCACAATATAAATGCCACTAAATCCTAATCTTAGAAACAAACATAAAAATTCTCTCAAGTTGGGGCGCCTGGGTGGCTCAGGTGGTTGAGCATCAGACTCTTGGTTTCAGCTGAGGTCGTGGTCTCAGGGTCATGATATCAAGCCCTGCAAAGGGCTCCACGCTCAAGCTTGGAGTCTGCTTGGGAATCTCTCTCCCTTTCCTTGCCCTTCCTGCTTGTGTGCACACTCTCTCTCTCAAATCAATAAATATTTTCTTAAGACAGAAAATTCTCTCAACTTGATGGCAATTCTAAAAAGGGGAAGTTTACTGTTAACAGTAAACCATCACTTCTAAAAATTCATAAATAGGGGCGCCTGGGTGGCTCAGTCGTTAAGCGTCTGCCTTCAGCTCAGGTCATGATCCCAGTGTCCTGGGATCGAGCCCCGCATCAGGCTCCCTCCTCAGGCAGAAGCCTGCTTCTCCCTCTCCCACTCCCCCTGCTTGTGTTCCCTCTCTCGCTGTGTCTCTCTCTGTCAAATAAATAAATAAAATATTTTTTAAAAAAATAAAAAATAAAAAAATTCATAAATATGCAATGAAGACTGACTTGGTATAATCATGAAAAGCAAAAATAAAAGCCTTTCAACTTTATTGATTAAACAGGTTTGTAAAGTCATAAAATTCTCTGAGGAGTCTACTTAGAAGTAAATATATTAACAAATTCATACTTGCTACCTAGGATGAACTATCAAAACATGAGATTCAGGTTAATATCTTAAGAAAAAAATTAATGAAAAAAATTAATGAAAAAATTAATAGGGAGGTAGTCAGAATAAAAGATAAAAGAGGTTTTATATGTAAGCAAAATCAAAATGTGTCAAGGAAAAAAGACAGCAGTGAATTAAAAAATATAACTTAAAGTTTAAAAGGCCTAAGTATAATAACTAAGTTGAAAATACATGTAAAATTACATAAGTTAAATGGATTGCCAAAATAAACAGAATTTCATTTGAAGGAAAATATAAGCTTAATATCCTATTACATTTATGCCTAACACATGTTTAAAAAGTGAAATAGAGGGGCGCCTGGGTGGTTCAGTCGTTAAGATTCTGCCTTTGGCTCAGGTCATGATCCCAGGTTACTGGGATCGAGCCCCGCATCGGGTTCCCAGCTCAGCGGGAAGCCTGCTTCTCCCTCTCCCACCCCAATGCTTGTGTTCCCTCTCGCTGTGTCTCTCTCTGTCAAATAAATAAATAAAATCTTTAAAAAAGTAAAATAGAAAATATCCAGTCAATAGGATATATGTTACTTTGAAATGAAATAGGCACAACAGTCTATCTATTCTCTAGTCACGAGGATGGATGAAAATAGCAATAGTATTAAATAGTCAGATGAAAAATGCAAAATAGTAAAAAAAAAAAATCAGTTAAGAGAGTCCCATAATGAGCATTAAGGAATTAAATTCCCAAGACAGGCTACTCTGTAATTAAATACTAAAGTGAGCACAGTATGCAGAAGAGAGTTAACATAACATGCCTGAGACTGCTAATCTTAGGAAGGCCTGCTTGCAAGGTTGGCCTTTGGCTGGCATCTGAGAAACTTGTTCTTTGGGAATGTTCCCACAAACCCCTGCTAAGAGTGGCTCACTGTACCTAAACTTTTTGTGTAAACAATCTGTTTTGTACTGAACACATGTTTTCCTTCTGAGAGCCTGGAATTTTGGTACATGCTAGACAGAAGGTGCCTATGTAACCAACCTCCAATAGAAACCCTGGGCATCAAGTCTCTAACGAGCTTCCTGGTAGACAACATTTCACATGTGTTGTCACATGTGTATCCTGTGTGATGCCACTTAGACACTACTCTTGGAAGCTTATGCCTGGTTTCCTCCAGACATCCCATGTGCCTTTTTTCTCTACAGATTTTACTTTGTATCCTCCACTGTAGTAAATCATAGCCATGAGTACATCTATATGCTGAGTCAAAGGAGTCCTCTTAGCAAATCACCAAACCTGGGGGTAGTCTCGGGGACCTCTGATGGACAGAGGTAAAATGCATTCTTTACATTTAAACCAAACCGAGGCACCAGCATTTACTAGATAGATTCTTGAAGTTTTATATAATCTGTGATTCATTTCCTGTCTTAGAATGACATATGAAATGCAGTAGATATATAGTGAGAAAATTTTAAAAATACTTTAAGGAAAACCAAAAATAAAAATAAAAATAAAATACTTTAAGGAAATTAGACAATTTTGAATATCAATGTTCTTCTATTACACTAGAAAGTATTTAAAGTATACCTTTCTCTAAATCCTGTAAATCTTCAAATCAGACTTATACTTTATTAAAAGGATCCTAATAAGCACCCATAACAGAAAGAATAGAAGTGTTGTCAGTAATTTGGACCCTCAGAAAGTATAAAGGTATAAGGCTGATAGGGGATCCTCCCTCCACAGATCCACAGATCTATGCACACAGTGGACCCCAGACAAATACACATACACATGGCACCACAGACACACAAATGCAAACAGAGGCAATGAGAGATTCAGACACAGAGAAAGGTACACACACACAGCCAGAGAGAAAGAGACCGTCACTCAAAGACAGAAAAAAACACACACAGAAACAGAAACAAAAACAGTATATGTTAATGGCTAATTATACCAAAAAAACCTTTTAAAAAAAATCACAAATTTACTGGCATTTATTTGCACCACTAGCCTTAGTATACTTTGTGTTAATAGAAAAAATAAAGGCTGTCCAGAAAAACTGGTTCTGATTTCCTATCTAATACGAGAATTAATATTTATATATAACTCCATTATCATACATAGAAAAAAAGTAGTAATTAGCTTAGCTATTTTCAATGTCTGGTCTTGGGGGAATGACTTTGCTTTTTTTGCACAGCAATATTTTCACTCTTCCTGACAAGAATTACCCACCTATGACCGACCGACCTTTGGTATACTACCAATAATCTTGGATATTGGCTTCTCTTAACCCCCATGCCCACTGCTCACCAACAAGCTTCTCTGATATACTATAATCATAAAACTTACTCTCAAAAATACTATAATCATAACATCTCTGTTCTTACAACTTTTCATAACAAAAAAAATGGCTGGAACATATAAGTATGCTCAGAAAAAGTAGCTGGCAGACACTAACTATAAAAGGATGAGCTGAATAAGCTTATGTGTCAAATATATTTGTTCCTTTAAACTATTTCTCATAAGGCAAATAATCCTATTTCATCAGTGAAAAACATTTACAGGAGGGCGCCTGGGTGGCTCAGTTGGTTAAGCAACTGCCTTCGGCTCAGGTCATGATCTTGGAGTCCCAGGATCGAGTCCCGCATCGGGCTCCCTGCTCAGCAGTGAGTCAGCTTCTCCCTCAGACCCTTCCCCCCCTCATGCTCTATCTCATTCTCTCTCTCAAATAAATAAATAAAATCTTTAAAAAAAAAAAGAGAAAAACATTTACAGGATTTCTGCAGTAATAAAAACTTTTTAGGGCGCCTGGGTGGCTCAGTCGGTTAAGCAGCTGCCTTTAGCTCAAGTCATGATCCCAGGGTCCTGGGATTGAGCTCTTCATTGGGCTCCCTGCTCAGCAGGGGTCTGCTTCTCCCTCTCCCTCTGTGCTCTTTCTCTATCTCAAATAAATAAATAACCTTTTTAGCATGTATATAATTATGTACATATCTCTAGTATACTCAATTTGATGCAGTTTTTGATGAAAACCTGAAGGCAATGAGACTGGTGTGAAGTAAGAGTTAGCATCTATTTTAGATGCTCAAGTGCTGTCATCAATCAATGCCTAAGTAGCCACAGCCTGCAACATTAGCCTTATCAGAAGGAGAAAATTATAAAGACAAAATAAAGGTTAAAAGCCATGAAGGAAAAAGGGGCACACAGTAGTAACAGCACACCCCCCTACCATATTGATTCTGTTGTTGTTGCATGACACCAATAACAAAGAGGGCCCTTCCCTGATCATAAACTAGCACAGCAAACTTTTTTTTTTTTTTAGAGCAAACTGTTTTTACTAGACAATAACAATAGCTAACACTTGCCGCTTACAAGGGGACAGGCACCATTTCCCAATGAATTGTGTTTCATTCATTTAATTATCTATATCTTACCCACGTAGGAGATAATTTTGTTGTTGTTTTGCAATCACAAGAGTTAATCTTTCATACATGTTTACAAAAAAGATTCATATCCACTTCTTGAATTATCTGTGGGCCAAACACATTACTTGGCACTTCCACCATACCTTACCTCATTTAATCTTCACAACCCTGTAAGGCAGTAATTAAATTATTATTTACTTCTCTTTTACAGTAAATACACTTTCCCTCGGTCATCTCAGAGGTCACGAATTCATTTCCAAAACTATCTCATTTTTTCCCCTTTATCATCACTAGGTTTTCAGTTTAGGTCAGTTCAAAATATCTCCTAGATTTTTCACCTACTTCAAAGTCAAGGTTATTATTGCCTATTACTGAAAAATCTCCATTTTCTGGGGCTATTTTAAATTTTATTTGTATATGTAGTCTCTAGATTCACATATTTCACATTAATGGTATGTAAGGAATCCAACATTCAACCCAGTAACATCACTGTACATTCCACTGGATAAGAAAATGATTATCTGACTAAACCAGTAAAAAATGACTATTTGACTAAACCAACAGGGTAAAGTTAAGTAAACACTTCAAGCATGATTCATTAGCTGCTGTACAGCACTAGGGTGGTTAGATTTGACTCCTGCTTCAAAGTCTTACAATCTAATTGGAGAACACAACAAAAACACAGTGTCAAAAGAAAAAGAATAAAAGGACCATGAGCATTAACTAAGTAGCCATCGACTTAAGCTCTGACCTGCTTCTTCCAAGGTCAAAAGAATCTTATAAAATATAAAGTTCTGACAAGTAGAAAATAGAGCTTAAAGTGTGACCAGGAAACATGACAAAGAATGAAATGAAACTACAGAATCTAATATTCTGTTTATCTTAAATAACATAAATTTTAACCAATTATTTCATTACACATACAGTACTACAGCCTTTTCTTCTTAATGTAGATATAATGGTTTATTAACACGTAAATTCAACATCCAATTAATCAATGTGTTCTGATCTACAAATTGTCAATAGGGACAGGTAATGAATTTGTTAGCTGCCTAGCAACCAAAGTGCCACTGATTATCCTGCTACCAGAGTGAATTTAAAACTGTCCTGGGGCGCCTGAGTGGCTCAGTTGTTAAGCATCTGCCTACGGCTCAGGTCATGATGCTAGGGTCCTGGGATCGAGCCCCGCATCGGGCTCCCTGCTCCGCGGGAAGCCTGCTTCTCCCTCTCCCACTCCCCCTGCATGTGTTCCCTCTCTCACTGTGTCTCTCTCTGTCAAATAAATAAATAAAAGCTTCAAAAATAAATAAATAAATAGGGGCGCCTGGGTGGCTTAGACGGTTAAGCATCTGCCTTTGGCTCAGGTATCAAGTCCCGCATCGGGCTCCCCGCGGGGAGCCTGCTTCTCCCTCTGCCTCTCTCTCTCATGAATAAATAAAATCTTTAAAATAAAATAAAATAAAACTGTCCTTACTTCTATTTCTACCACACCATATTCCCTGAAAAAGTTCAGATTTATTGAGAGGATTTGTATTATTACCCAACCACCCCCCACCATGTATAAACAGCAACTGAAAACAAACGTAACAAATAGAGAAATGTTCTCAGTAGAGAAAAAAGAGCAAACAAAAAGAGGATGTTCTTTAAGCCTGCAAGAAACACTCAGTAAAACAGTATACCTTCTTTTTTTTTTTTTAAGATTTTTATGTATTTATTTATTTGACAGAGAGAGAGGGAACACAAGCAGGGGGAGAGGGAGAAGGAGAGGCAGGCTTCCCGAGAAGCAGGGAGCCCGATGCGGGGCTCTATCCCAGGACCCTGGGATAATGACCTGAGCCGAAGGCAGACACTCAATGACTGAGCCACCCAGGCACCCCAAAACAGTATACCTTCTAATTCAGCTCAGAGTAAAATGTTCCCTCTATGATATCAGACTATGATATGGTGATTACAGTCAAATATTTTTAAGCTCACTTCTTCTACCATCCCTACCATACTAAAATTGTTTTAGCCTGTTTAGATGATCTAAATAATGGGTAAAGACTAGTAATGCAAACAGAATTGGATAACCTATATTTAAGGAATCTAACAGTTTAATGAAGGCTAACCTTTTCTACTTTTTCATGACTCACTAATGAAATATACTAAAGACATTACTATACAGATTAGAACTCCCCACTATTACAAAACTTTCCATATTCTTCCCATTAAAGTTTATTCCAGCAAAATTCAGCAACATTTATTTGAATCACTAAGCCAGTAAATACACCGAGCAATATAATATAGTACAACTAAAATCACTGAATATAAACTTACTTTTCAGCAAAATCTTTACTTCTCCATTTTCTTTCTTGATCTCATTCATTACTTTATGCTTTTTCTTCTCTCTCTCTTTTTCCTTATCTCTCTCTTTGATTTTGTCTTTGATTTTATCTGAAAGACAAAACCAAGTAAATATTTAAAACTACTTTATAATTTTTCCCCAAGAACTATGTGCAATTTCTAGAATACACCCATGAAAAATCAGAATGAAAAACAAACATGTCTTTTGTTCTTCCTCTCAGGTCTGGGGAAAAAGATTTCCAAATTTCCTGTCGTATATTAACACAGAACACATAACATACACATCATAAACTATCAAAATTTATCATTATATATCTCATTCTAGAGGTTCTTCTTTAATTCATGTCAACCACAATATTAGACTAACTTCAAGTCATTTAAAATAACTTTAATCAAGATAATAAACTACAATGGATAAAGTGCTAGCTGTGAAGTTGGCCATATCTGAATTAACACCATAACAATGGAAAAATTACTGAATTGCAGTGTCTTAATCTATAAAATGCTGGTTATCTTTCTCACAGGTTGCCATAAGGATTAAGTGAAAAAATATTTAAAATGACTACCCAGGCCCTGGTATATATATGACCAGATGTTAGTTCCCTTACCCTTACTCCTTTTAAAAAGGATATGACTGATCTGGCTATCTGGTGATATTAGGATGTTAAAATAAAAGGTATAAGAACTCTAGGAATCATTGATCTGCTTTTCTAAAAATTTAAATTTGCGTCTGTAAGATTATTTGATGTCCTATTCTTGTTTAATCAAGCTACTATGCACACAGCAAAACAGATGTAGAGAATTTCAAAATAGTAATGTAGCCTTTGCCTTCAAAAAAAAAAAGCTTACTATTGATTACAAAGTCATGACTGAAGTACATAAATACTGTAAAATATCTTGTAATGTAACAGATATTATATAGTATATATGCATACTGCAGAATTTCTTAAAATCCTTCCTTACTTTCTTTTCTATAAATACTACCCTAATTCAGGTCCTAATCACCTCATGATTAGATTACCATCTAGATTAGTACTGCCCAGTAGAAATAAAATGTATACCAGATATGTGAATTTGAATTTTCTAGTAGTCACATTAGACACAAAAACCAACAGGTGAAATTAATTTTAAACAATACATTTTATTTAACCAATAGATCTAAAAAATGTCATTTCAAAATGAAACCAACACTAACAAATTATTATTGAGACATTTTACATTGTTTTTCACAATAAGACTTCAAAATCCAGGGTATATTTTACACTTAACAGCACATCTCAATTCAAAGTGTTCAACAGTCACATGAGACTGGTGGCTACCACACTGAACAACTCAGGTCTAGGCTACTGAAACAGATAATTCTCAAAAAATTAAGCCCATGTACTTAAACATTTTAAAACTTACATTCATTAATAATAAAAAAATACAAATTCAAAAAAGATACCTTACCTTGAAACTTATAAAGTGCTTTTTTAAAAGTGATAATACTCAAAGCAGAAGAAAGGATAGTTGATGGGAGAGCAAACAAAAACAGGGACTCACTAATTTAACAAATATGCATCGCTGAGTATAAGAAAAGGCTTAGGGAGACAGAAGTGAGTAAATAAGGTCCTCATCTGTTCATATATAACTTAAATTCTAGAAATAGATTAAGCGGTTCTCACGCTTCAGACTAGTTTGCTAGCAAACTAAAGTCCTTGAAATCCTGTCACAGGCTGTCATCCAGCCATCAAGTGTTACTCCAAATAGCTGGAGCTTAGACACATACGTTACTATTTCCTAAGTAAACATACATTTTTAATGAACTATTTACGTATCTTTTAAAAATCACAACTGAAGAAAACAGTCATCTATCTCTATATTTCTTTTCCCAATCATCCCTATTAACTTTATTAACCTTAAAGTGTTATTTCAGTAACTACTGAACTTTTAAAGTTTATTAAGATATAATATCCACACAGAAAAAACATGTAAGTATACGGCTCAATTTTCACAAAAATGAACAGCACCTCAGGACCCCTCTCGTCTTCCCTTCCAGTCTTGATGCAGCATCCCTAAGGGTAACCACAATCCTGACTTCTAACCACAAAGATTAAAATAACTGTAAATTTTAATGGCATATATACAAAAAATTATGATATAATATAAACCTATCACAGTCACAAAATATATTTTTCAGAATTAAACTAGCTTCTCAGGAAATAAAATTATAATATGGTATTACCCAATTTTTAATAAACTTTATTTGTAAATATATTTATTCATTACAGACCTTATTTTTTTTGTTGTTTTTTAAAGATTTTATTTATTTATTTGACAGAGAGAGACACAGCGAGAGAGGGAACACAAGCAGGAGCAGGAGAGGGAGAAGCAGGCTCCCCGCTGAGCAGGGAGCCCAATGCGGGGCTTGATCCCAGGACCCTGGGATCATAACCTAAGCCGAAGGCGGACACTTAACAACTGAGCCACCCAGGCACCCCGATAGACCTTATTTTTTTAAGATTTTTATTTCTTTGAGAGAGAGAGCATGCACACGCATGCACATAAGCAGGGGGAGGAGCAGAGGAAGAGGGACAGTCAGACTCCACGCTGAGCACAGAGCCAGATATGGAAGGCTCAATCTCACCACCCTGAGATCATGACCTGAGTGGAAATCACGAGTCAGACATTAACCAGCTGAGCCACCCAGAGGCCCCTAGACTTTATTTTTTAGAGCAGTTTTAGGTTCTCAGCAAAACTGAACAGAAAGTACACACTGATTTTCCATATGTAACTCCTGCCCCTATACATCCCTATCTATCTATCTGTCTATCTACCTACCTACCTACCTATTTATGAGAGCAGAATGTGGGCGGGGGGGGCAAAAGGAGAGGAAGAGAGAATCTTGAGCAGACTCCACGCTGAGCATGGGGTTGGATCCCATGACCCTGAGATCAGGACCTGAGCTGAAACCAAGAGTTGGCCACTTAACCGCTTAAACTGTACCGTAACCCAGGGACCCCAATTATCATCCCAATTTTTTGAAATTATAATTAATACACATTCAAAAATCAGACTGAAAAATAATACCACAAATTATTAAAAGCCATCATTTTTTAAGGTAAATTCTACACCCAATGTGGGGCTTGAATTCATGACCCCCAAAATCAAGAGTCACAAGCTCTACTGACTGAGCCAGCCAGACACCCCTAAAAGCGATTATTTTTAAGTGGCAAGAAGTTTCAAAGTTTCTGCAATAGGACCATATTGGAGAAAGGGTCCTAGAATATGCCTTCCGGTATAATATTAGGTAAAGATAAATTGAAGATGTTAAGTAGTATATGAAAAACATCTAGAAACGAAAACAATGACACAGCCAAACAAGAAGAGTGACTGACAACGTAACTATCGTTACCCTCCCACCTCACACTCGAAACCTTCTAAGGAAAGGAAGCAAACACAAATCATCCTAAAAATTCGTAGCAGAAAAGCGTTTTTGTGGGATAACTGCTGTCCCAACCTACACACCTGTCTCAATCTTTCAATCTACCTTTCACCCTTCCTAAAATTTTTTGCTTCTTGTCAGGGCACATCCTTTTTCAAAATCCAACTTTAAATGCCTCCATTAAATGTTTCATAATCATGTTACAGATAACATAAAGATGTTGTAAGACATGTTTATATGTCACAGGTAAACATGTTACAGCTATAACAAAGTGGAAAGCCTACAAGTTCAGAAGACCTAGGTTCAAGTTCTGCAACCTTGATAACAAACTTTCAGATCTCCCATTTCAGCTGTAAAATGGAGTTTATATAAAGATTAAATAGGAAATATATACAAAAGCATACTGCAAAGATATGAGCCTTATGAATGCAGAATATTATCTATGTCTATCCATAATACTGAGCCATAATAACATTTTTTGGTCATAACAATTTAGAACACCACTGTCTGTAAAATCGCAACTCTGCTGTTACTATATTATAATGCATTCATATTCATAAAAGCTACTTCTACATGTTTTCACAAGGAAAACAGCTCCCTGGCATCATGTTTACTGTAAAATATTGTTCTTTAAAAAACGGTCATTCTTTAAAAAATCATTTCACGACCAAGAATTTGTAAGGTTTTACGCTTCGTGGTCTAAGGTTTAGAAGGAATTTTTAGCTAATTATTGGGATAAAAGTAAAAATTATTCTACCATAAGAACAAGAAATTATCAGTTTTGAAAAGTCCAACTTAATATAGGGACTACAAGTTTTATTTAAAAATAAAGGGGGGTGGTGCCTGGATGGCTCAGTTGGTTAAGGGTCTGCGTTCAGCTCAGGTCCTGGGATCTAGCCCCATGTGGGGCTCCCTGCTCGGCAGGGGAGTCTACTTCTCCCTCTCCCTCCCTCCCTGCTCGTGCTCTTTCTCTCACTCTCTCAAATAAAATCTTAAAAAAAAATGAAAAATGAAAATAAAAAATAAAAAAAGATAAAAATAAAAAGGGGGCGAGGGGAGAGAGGAAAGACAGATAGAAACGGACCCATGATAAGAGTTTGAACCTACAGAAGCAGAAGGAATATAAGAATGAAGGAATAAATGATTAAGTCATTATGAAATCAGAACAAACTACAAATTACACGTGTGGAAAAATACACATGTGCTGAAGACTTACACTATATGTAAAAGTTGTGATATAAAAAATAAAATTGATTAAAATAATTTCAAATAAGATATAAATGGGATTTTCAAACATATATTCAATTTACTGATTTAGCAATATATTTCAGATTTCATGCACACAGTATATTTCTATTGAGCACTTATACGCAAGAGGTGAAAATGAGTAATAGTGCTGTACTAAAGAGTCTTAAAATGAAATCAACGATATCATTTGAGTCTTACTGTTGGTACCACTATGGAAAACCAGCTCTTAAATAACAAAATTATTGTTTTCATCTGGGTATAATAAAATTTACTAGTCTTCACCTGTATTAAAGTCATTATAGTAATATAGAGATGAAAGCACATACACAAATATTAGATGAATCACTTCAGTAAGGAGAAAGTCAAACTTATAAAAAGCATTGTTAGAGAATCCTTTTAGGAGATATTTTTAATTTTT